TAGGAAAGTTGCCACACCTCCATGGGGTGATTTTTCAGTGGGACGAGTCACCCAAGGACAAGGGCCAAGGCTCGAGAGACCCTTTTTTAATTATAGAGTGGGTCTTCCTCAGCCACAAGAGCTGGTGGCAGAACTGATCCGCAAGGAAAGATTGCGGATCAGGGAGCTTGCAGGTTGTGATTTTGACTGCATTCACATCCCCATCCAATTGAAATTGGGCCAATTCAAAAAGGACACATTTGACAAACTGCTCCGAGAGAATGAGATGTTACAATTTGCACTGGACAGCTACACCGGCCAAATCGCTGTTGATCGGCCAGCCCACAAAATTTTTAATCAGGATGTTCAATTTTCCTTGTCATTAAAAAGTGTTCAGAGCCAAACCCCTCTGAAGGCACTGACTGCGTTTACTGGTGCGTCCAGAGCATCCCACAAGTCTGTAATGACTTGGAAGGATCCTCAAACCCAGCGGTGGGAGGCTGATGTTATTGAGGTGGAAGGATCACCTCAAGTAGCTGAGTTGGACGCAGTTGTCAGGGCTTTTGAGAGGTTCTCTGAACCATTCAATTTGGTCACAGATTCGTCTTACGTTGCAGGTGTAGTGTCCAGGGCAGAAAATGCAATATTGCAGGAAGTGTCCAACATTCCCTTGTTCAACTTGCTCTCAAGATTAGTCACACTGGTCTCCCACTGAGTGCAACCTTTTTCGTAATGCATGTCAGATCACACACCGACCTGCCAGGGTTCATTGCAGAGGGCAGTTGAAGAGCTGATGCCCTTGCCGCTCCAGTCCAGATTGCTCCACTCCCGGATGCGTTCAGCCAAGCTAAGATTAGCCACCAGCTATTCAACCAAAACGCCCCTGGCCTTGTTCGACAATTTCAGATCACTCAAGAACAGGCCAAGGCAATTGTGGCTATGTGCCCTCAGTGCCAGTCCCATCAACTCCCATCCATCAGCTCCGGTGTCAACCCGAGGCTTGTCTAGTTGTAAGGTGTGGCAAATGGACATGACACATGTCCCATCTTTTGGCTGGTTGAATTATGTCCATGTTTCTGTGGATACCTTCTCCGGTGCAGTCTATGCTTCCGCCCATACAGGGGAGAAAGCAGCCGACACAGAAAAACAGGCTCTTGTGCAGGCTTTCTCTGTGCTGGGCATCCCCAAGGTCATCAAAACTGACAAAGGCCCAGCGTACAAATTCAGGGAACTCAGGAGCTTCCTGCAGCAATGGGGAATAGAGCACAAGACCGTCATCCCCTATTCCCTGACAGGCCAAGCCATGGTGGAGAGGACCCACCAGAGCCTGAAAAAAGTTCTGGAACATCAACGCATGGCAGTGAAGTTGGAGTCCCCACAAGTCTGACTGTCCAAGGCACTTTTTACAATTAATTTTTTTAAATTGCTCCTTTGATAACCTGAATCCCCCTATAGTGAGGCACTTTGGTCACCACGAACAGTTGCACCTGAAAGTCAGGCCTCCAGTCCTAGTCAAGGATCCAGAGACCTGGAAGACAGAAGGGCCCTTTGACCTGGTAACCTGGGGAAGGGGATACACATGCGTGTCCACTCCCTCAGGTTTGAAATGGGTTCCATCGAAATGGGTCAGGCCCTTTCTTCCAAGGAAAGCACCGTAGTCAGGGTTGTGGCACAGGTCGAGGAGGCCTGTTGGAGGAGGAAGCGCAAACCCTTCAGCCAAGATCTAGACCTCCTCCTGGGGCAGAATCAAGGTTTTTGAACTTGTTTCTCAATTTTGTTTTTCTGTTGTTTTAGCGACGCCAACCTGATGGCTCCTTCTCAAGCTGCTGTCATCCTCCTGGTGACTGCATTCTGATCCTTTGTTCCACCGTTGGAACAATGGATTGTTCCTCAGCCCAAAGCTAATGCCTGGAAGACACTCACAAAAGTCGTCGGCCAGGATCACATCTGCCTTAACATGGCATCGGCCGAGGACCCAATGTCGTCTTGCCTTGTGGGGATCCCTCCCCTCCTAATGATTTCCCCTCTTCCCTTGCTACTTCCCTTGCTCCCCTGATGCCCCAAAAGGTTGCCTATTCTCCTGGTTTGGATCCTAACATCGGTTGGAGGGACGGAATCCAAGGTCTGACACCTTTGGATTCCGAACCCTGGAATTCGAATTGCTCGGCTCTGCCAACGCCTCCCTCTGCATTCAGTTTATGTTCACCCCCAACCCTCCAGATAAGTTATTCCAATCAGTTTGGCAGTTCAAAAAAGAATATACTGCCAGTTTATGGTGCGAAGTTGTTGCCCATATAGATATGGCATCCACCTTTGATTACAAACCTTTATCCCTACCCCGTGGTGTCTTTTTGGTTTGCGGAGACCGAGCATGGGCAGGCATCCCCTCTCGCCTTATCGGAGGCCCTTGCACTTTCAGACGGCTGTTGCTGTTTACCCCCAACAAAACTCAAATTAATAATTGGATATTAAAAAATGTCACACTGAATTCGGCCCGTTCCAAAAGAGATCTTAGAAATCTTGACCCAGACTGTGACTCAGAAATTATTCATTGGTCTAAACCCAAAGGAGTTGCAATTACTGTGGTTTTGCCCTGGGTATACGCAGCCAAGGCTCTAGGCAAATTGGCCCACCTAGAGTTTTGGGTGGCTAAACAAGCCAATCTTATATCAGCTGCATTATCAGACCTCCTATCAGACAAGGAAATTACAAGGAAGGAAACATTGCAAAATAGGGTGGCCCTCGACTTTCTTCTCCTCCTTCACCACCACCAGTGCGAAGAATTCGGGGGCCTCTGCTGCCTCAATTTTTCAACAAAAGCTGAGGACACAAGAAGTGCTATCAAGAAGATGTGAGACATGGTCAATGACATTAAGAAAGAAACATCGGACTGGCTGAGGGACATTTTCTCAGGATGGGGCCTCTCAGGTTGGGTAGGGTTGATTTTAAGGGCTGTGCTTTTAGTTCTTTTAATTTTAGTTGTAGTCTTATTTGCCTCCTCCATCATTTGGAGATTAGTTAAGAGACTGTTAATTAATTTGGTACCCACTCCGAGCATCAACAACGTGGTGAGCCTACATGATGGACAATCAGATGGTGGACAGTCCAATGATGGACAGGCTGCAGAAGAGGATCAGTGGGCTTCAGATACGCTGAGCCACCCCTGGTTCGGAGAAGTTTACTACGACTCAGAGTTCAATTACCAAGTTCAGGCTGCAGAAGAGAATCAATGGGCTTCAGATACGCTGAGCCACCCCGGGTTCGGAGACGTTTACTATGACTCGAAGTTCAATAACCAAGTTCAATTTACCTCCTTTTAGACCTTTCATTATTTTTTTTTTAAACAAAAAAGGGGGAGATGTATTGTTGTGTCTGTATAAGTTGGACTGTTCTGTTCCCCCCTATCATCTAATGGTTCTGCCATGGTTCTCTTCTCCCTCCCTTGTGCTGCCAGTTATCCCAACTCCTCCCCAGTTGTCTTTGAGACTAATGTATTCTTTCTCAAATCCCTCCCCACTGCCCTGTCTGTCACTCGGCGCTCCCACCCTTCTCTCTAGAAACTTCCAGCTAGAGCGTCGAGTGATTGGTTCAGGGGCTGCAGCCCCACCCTCAAGTTATCCCCATTTGTGGTCTCCCCTAAGTCAATCTTTTGTATCCCACTCCCCTCTAAACCTCTATTCGTCCAAGGACTGACTCCTCCCCTGTTTCCCTCCCTCCTTATAAGCTGTTGCAACCAACCCAGAAACTCTCTTCGGCTGTCGGTTTCCCCTGGGACCCAATAAACCTGGATTCACCACAACTGGAGTCCTCTCTCTTTTTCTGCTGACTGTAGCCATAAGCCAAGCCACGTCCTACCACAAAGTAGAGCTGCTGTCATAGCGCAGGACGTTTGCCTTAGGTGCTGTCCCAAACCACGGAAATCAGGATAGTGCCCCCCTACTGCTAGAGGAGCTAGATAGCTAGCCAGGACGTCCGAGAAGGACAATCCTTCCTCAGCTTGACCGCTTCAGCATCCTGTTCCCCATAGGTTTTTCCATTTATTTTTAGCTGCTCTTTTACCAGATTAATGAGCTGAACTAACTCAAAAAGGAATCAGGTAAGTGCCAGAGCTTTAAAAAAAAAAAAAAAAAAAAGCAAAATGGTGATTTGTAGGTGCGTTTGAAAATAGAAGTTTTTTGTATTTTTCATAGATACATGGAATTCTCTAGAATGATATTGCTCCAATGGTTTGAGTTTGGTTTTCTTTTTCCCCCTCAATTGTAAATGTTATGCATTCTTTTTGGCCATTTCAGTAAATAGATTTTCTGATCTGTGTGAAAGGCGGTCTGAAGTTCCCCTCATTTGCTTCACGACCATTCCCAGGACAGACATGGGGACCCTAAAGACCCTGATGGGAATTCTGGCCTGCCGGTGGTGGATGAATGCCAAAAATCCTGAAGCCCCTGAGCAGAATTCTGGCCTGCCAAGTGATTGTTCACAGATGTGTCTACAGTGACTGCTTCTAGCAGGGCCTGCCAAAGGGTGATGCGGCCTATATGCTTGCACCTGCTTTGCGACAATAGGCCAGGAATTTTCCCACCTCTTGGCCAGATGAAGTTGCTGAGGCAACTTTGGTAGCCCCCCCCATGGAAAATCCTTCATCTGCTCCACTACCACTGTGAGGCACGGAGATTGAAGCCCCCCTACCAAGAACTGAGACTGAGACACCTGTGATTCTGATGCAGGGGTGCTGGCCTGACTGAAGCAGGATGCCTGCTGAGTGTTGCCTACAGATGTGCCTACAGGACCTAGACTGGTTTCCCCCAGAAAGCAGTCCTGAAACAGTGGGTCCCACTCACTGCTGATACTGACTTATCCTGCTGAGAACATGGACTGTGTCTCTCCACGTTTGGTAGCTATACTCCTGTCCTGGTTAAGGGCACATTTTGGAGAGAACCCCCAAAGGGTCTCCTCTAGGAAAGCAGATTCATTTGGCCACTCCCCCCAACCGGTCTAGGAGAAAATAGCTCCTTGGAAAGAAGTGGAAAAAACCTGTTTATTAAACAATAAAACCTAAACAATATTAAACAATAAAACCCCTTGTTGCTCCAAAAGAGATGACAAACTGAGAAAGTCCCCTCCCTGGGTTGCAGTTCAGCTCGCTCAGGCTCTTATCTGTCCTTCCAGTGCTGGAAATGTCGCGGGCCAGGCCCGGCCTGGTGGGCCACAGGTGCTAGCTGCCGGTGCTCTTCTGGGTGTGCAGAGCAGGTTTCAAGAGGTCCAAAGAAAAGGGATTACCGAGTCGGTCTCCCTGTCTCTCTGCATTGCCGAAAGAGGATCTTGACACACATATCACAACTAAACAAATACTGTTCAGTGCTACGGAATTAGCTAAGCTGTCAAAAGAATTCGGGTGCCTCCCACAAGAATCAGAGACAGAATATGTCTTCCGAGTGTCCCTCAGTGGTGGACATCAAATTAAATTAACCAAACAGGAGGCCAGTGGGTACTGGGGATGTGGAGTCTTCTTAACAACAGGAGATAAGGAGATAAGTGTGACGCATCATCCCTGACACAGGGCACGTCTTTCTGGGCCGGGAGAATGAATCCATTGGAAAGGGGTGACCCCCTGGCAATCGTTGACACCACCGACCAGCTCTTAGAAAGTGTCCACAAAGCCGCCTGCCTGCAAAAGATTCATGAAAAGAAATTAGTTCCTGGTTTTGAATGCCCAATACAATAACCTGTGAAGCCAGAACTAATGACCAATTGAATTAGTGGGCTTCCAGAAACGCTTAAACCTACAGCAATGACTCTACAGAAAACCATAATGGCTTTGAATCCTGTAGAAAGACTAGATAAGATTCCTCAGGAACTCCACTGACCAAAGAGGATCTAGAGATCCTGGCTTCACTCTGTACTCTTCCCCCTCACAGCCCTCAGCTTCTCAATCTGATTCACCTGCCAGTAGCCATAAAGTTTGGACATGGGGTGAAGTTGCAGTAGATCTGATTAATTATTGTAGACAATATGGACCTATAAAAACCCCGGAGGAGAAATCGGAAAAAAACAAAGGTGTTTGGTTTATTGGGGCTCCTCACAGTGAAAATATAGAGAAAGGAAAACAGATCTCTAACTGCCACCGTTGGTGGTTGTTGGGAATTCAAAAGTGGGTCCCCAAAGAGGTGATGGATGGTTTGCCCCTGGATAAATTGCAGAAAATAATAAATAATTGGCACCAAATCCATCGGCTCAACCCAGTGCACCCCTCCCTTCTCAGGGACAAAAACTAACCCTCCCCCAGCCTCTCCCACAGAACACAGGCAGTGAACCAAAACCAACAAGGTTTTAGGGAAACAAATCTCTCTGCCCCTTACAGGTGGGCAAAGGGGCGGAGCTTGGGTTTATTTAAGAATGCTCACTAAAAATAAATCAGGAGATATATTAAGCCCAGCTATCACGGGCCTCCAAAGGCTACTAGTAAACTTTTTGATTGACATTGGGGCTCAAATCTCTGCACTAACAAAAAAGGATGCCCAGAGGTGTGGAATTGTTCCAACTAAGAGACAATGCTGTGTTCTTAATGCTTTGGGAACTACAGAATCTATGAATGTTGCCTCAAACTGATGCTCCCTGGAGATGAGCATCAACTAGTCATCAAAATGGTAATTGGGAACATTCCAAATAATTGATTAGGAATGGGTGTCCTTGCTGGGAGGCAGTGGGAAGACTCTGAGGGATTTCTGTGGTCTTTTGGCACACTGCCACTTAACATTAGGCCGCTTCAAACCGCACCCTCCCTACCCTATAATCAAACAACTAATGTAAAACAATACCTTCTACCTTCTGGTGCCAGAGAAGGTATCAAAGCAGTTCTACAGGACTTGAGAAACCAAGGGGTAATAATTCACACACATTCTCCTTTTAATTCACCGGTATGGCCAGTCTGAAAAGCCAATGGAAAGTGGAGATTAACAGTAGATTTTCGCAGGCTTAATGCCAACACAGACCCTTTTACAGCAGTGGTCCCAAACTTAGCTGAATTATTAACATCAATTCAAGAAAAGGCTCACTCAACCTGGCAATGGCAACGGCAACTATGGATGTCAAAGACATCTTCTTTATGATACCTATACAGCCAGAAGATAGGGACCATTTTGCCTTCACATGGGAAAGGACAGCAATACACTTGCACTAGGCTTCCCCAAGGCTACAAACACTCCCCCACTTTGGCCCACCATGCTTTAGCCCAGGAATTAGAAAAAATACCCAAACCAGATCCTGTAGCTGATAATCAATACATTGATGACATTCTGGTGAGGGCTGGGGGGGAGGATGAAATAAAGGTGGTAGGGAAACATCAGTAGAAAATAGTATCTCACTTAAAAAGTCTTGATTTGCAGATGCCCCCAGAGAAAATTCAGAAACCGTCTCAGGAAGTGAAGATTTTGAGAATTTGGTGGAAAGGAGGTATGACATGTATTCCACCCAATACCCTAACCTCTTTAGATCAGATTCAAATGCCTGAATCGAGGAAAGATCTCCAGTAAGCTCTAGGACTATTAGTGTTCTGGAGAAAACACATCCCAGATTTCTCAATAATTGCTAGGCCGCTTTTTGACTTGCTGAGGAAAAGGATGAAATGGGATTGGACTCCTTCTCAGGAAGAAGCATTGCAATTACTGATTTTTGAGGCAACAGCTCACCAAGCACTAGGCCCTATCCATCCCACAGATCCCTTTCAGGTGGAATGGGGATTTGCCTCCTCAGGGCTATCAGTACACATTTGGCAGTGGGGTCCCAAGGGTCCGACAGGGCCTCTTGGTTTTTATTCCTGGGGTTTCAAAGATGCTGAGAAAAGATACACTACCTTAGCTCTCCTAGAAGACGAAAAAACTGCATGACAACAGTCTCTTGTACTAAGAAGCCCTTTCAAAGTTATCAAAATTGTCACTAATGGGACCCCCCCCCCCCCCCCCACCTGATGGGGTAGCCCAAAGGGCCTAAGTTAGGAAATGGTATGCTCAGATGGAAGGCTATTGTAATACCGTCTCAATAACGGAAGATGCTGCTAAAAATCTAACAATCCAAGGCACTGAGAGCCTGGTTAGCAGCCAAGATAAATCTGCCTCTGTAATCAAAGCTGCCCTTCCTTTGTCCCCTGAACTAGCAGCAAGTTCTTGGTTCACAGATGCCTCTGCAAAAGGGGAAGGGAAGGTATGGAGATATAGAACAGCTTTCTTACACAACTCATTTGGTGAAAGAATCATTACCGAAGGGGAAGGCAGCGCTCAGGCTGGGGAACTCATAGCTGTTTGGAGTGTTTTCCGATGTGAGGCACAGAACATTTCTCTTGTCTGCATTTACACCGACTCTTACGCAGTGTACAAAGGTTGTACCGAGTGGCTTCCTTTCTGGCAGCAAAATGATTGGGAAGTTCACAGAAGTCCAGTGTGGCAAAAGGAAAAGTGGCAAGAAAGTTTAGACGTTGCAAGCCAAGGAAATTTTGCTGTTGGTTGGATAGCTTCTCAGCAAACAGATGGAAATCCAGCAGGAGAGTGGAAGAATAGAGCTGATGAACTAGCAAGGCTCAGCCCCCTGAAAAAGGAACTCATTCCTGAGGACTGGGATCAACTATTAGAATGGCTGCATGGAAAAAGACAGCACACAGGTGCGAAAGATTTGTACAAAGAAGCTCATGCTCGTGGTTGGCTGGTTACCAGGGAAATGTGTAAAACATGCGTATCAGGCTGTGAGCAATGTCGCAGGTGACTGGAGAGACATCCTTTAGAAGATGACCCTCTGCATTTAAGAAAGGGTAAAGGCTTATGGGACGCATGGCAGGTAGACTATATTGGCCCCTTTAAGAAGTCAGGAGGTAAACACTTTGTGCTAGTAGGAGTAGAAATTGTATTTGGGTTGGTTCAAGCTGATGCTTTGAAAAGAGCTACAGGTGATAATGCGGTTAAAGCTTTGCAGGGGTGGTTTGGAACTTTCCCAAAGCCACAGGAAATTCAATCTGATCACAGGTCCCACTTCACTGCTAGAGGTGTACAGCATTGTGACTAAAATGTGACTTTCCACACCCCTTTCCACTACCCTCAAGCTAGGGGGATCTTAGAAAGGACCAAGGGTTTTTTGAAAGGACTTCTGAAGCCCCGGGAGGGAAATTGGGACGTTCGGTTATGGGAAGCTGTTAAAAGAGTGAACAGTAGATGGGGGGTGAATGGACAGCTCCAAGCATCATTCCCTTACTACGGCGACCTGACGATTCAAAAAGTCCAGCACATTTATCCAGCACATAAATACATGCTGGATAATCCTATCATTTTAACTCTTTTCTGCCCTCAGTGGAAGGATTTCTGTTGTTTTTACTTTTACAGAAGAACCCTGAGGGACATGAGAATCATCTGAACCATGATAACACTGGTGATATTTTTCTACATCCTACCACAATTCCATGGACAGGATCCTGCTGAGTGGTTGTGGTCTGAAGCTACCCTACATCCCACTAATGTTCTAGGAGCGTATCCCAAGGGTGGCCACCCGAACCTAGAGCCTATAGCGCTGCATGACTCCCAGGTATATGGTCCAAGTGAGTGGGGATGGGATTAGAAGGACTGGACTAGAGCCCTAACTGGAACAATTGGTGAGTCAATTGTGGAAGCATGCAGAAAAATGGAAGGATCTCTCTATGAGAAAGCCACCTCCATCACAGTTGCCAGAAATTTTATGGAACCAGGTGGGAAAAATGATCTGGATATCCCTTCAGCGAGACTGTGTCCTACAAACAAGTGGGAGTGTGCCAGACAAATTCCCCTTACTCTGTTTTGCTGCCAGGAGTATGTTGGTAATTACACTCTAGGTCGCAAAACGAACAATGTTGCAAGTACAAAGGATTGTAAAAATGAACCAATTGATTGCTGGCATAATTTTACCTTAGCTAAAGCGACTTAAGTGACATGCCGCTGGCAAAATAACTTGACCAACCTGTTAGGTTGAAAAGGCTTAGCTCATAAATTTAAGATAGACGCTATTACAAAACCCACGCTGAGCACCGTAGTTACATCCCACTGGAATAGATGGGACTGAGAGCATGAAGCCCACACTGAGCACCATAGTTACACCCCAATGGGTAGAAGGGACTGAGAGCACAAAGCTGACATTGAGTACAGTAGTTACATCCGAGTGGGCAGAAGGGACTGAGACTACAAAGCCCACATGAAGTACAATAGTTATACCCCAATTGGTAGAAAGGACTGAGAGTCCCCTTAGTCTATGTGTTACCAAATGGCCTTGGTCCCAAGATTTGTTCACTTTGCAGGAATGGGAAAAACAAAAAACCTGGGTGCTTCAAGGGGCAGTGGGAGAAGAAATTAGCCGAAGGATTTGTGGAACTGCTTATAGCAAAGCAATCTCAATCGGTGTTTTGACAGATCAGACAAATAAGCGTGAACAGGTTTGTACGCCCCCAAGCGTACAAGACTGTTGGCACAACTTTACATTAACACAAACTGCAGAAGTAGTTTGTCTTTGGTCCAAAACTAGTGAAGGCTTTTCTTTTAAGTTGATAATAAATGGTATGAACCAACCTTCCACTACCACCACTCCAGCCAAACCACCGTTTAGGCTTAGACCGAGAAGTCTTGAAATTGGACCATATATAATCAGGAAAACTGGTCAACAACACATATTGTTCAATCTGGCACGGTCTCTTAAACAAGTCAAATTGCTGATGATGCAAAACAATGTCTCAGAAATTCCGCTGGCCTGTTTGCCTTTTTTGCAGACTTCCTTTGAGGGTTGGACCACCTGGCTGCAAAAACAGAAAGTCCGTTTTTTCTTTAAGAACTGACACTAAGAGACATAACCGGTGTTGTGGGAACAGGTTTGGGAATCCTAAATAGTATTGATTCTGAAGTACTAATGGATAAATTGGCTGCCACAAATAGAGATTTGACCAAATTAAAACAACCACTGCAATCATCCTTATTGGCTTTGGGAACACAGCAGTGCTTGCTATCAAACATATTACCAGCTTGGGAAAAGGTAAATGTAAGTGATCACAAATTGGTAGACTGATGCACTCGGTGCTACACAAAACAACCTTTCTTTGGCTCTTAGCTGTATCCAGGCACAATTGTCGATGCAGTCAGTTGCTGCCTCAATGATAAGAGAAGGTGAAGGCAATTTTCCTACTGCAATTCAGAAAAGAATTTGGGACAGTGCCACTGATTTTGAAAGAGAATTCCAGTCCTGGTGGAACTTGGTGAATTTTCCTTATCACCCCATTACAAACACAGCCACAGCTCTTGTGTTAACCGTACGCAATGCCTCAGTGCATTTGAGATTTCCTATTATTGCATTAGGGCTAAATCATGATGGAGCTATTCCCAATCTTTCTGAACATAGGCCCATCAAACAGGTAAAAAAATGGCAACATGTTAATTTGGAATCTTCTATTGTCCAAGAACAAGGCTTCATCTGTGAAAGTAATGCAATTCTAGCTCAAAATGTTTGTTTGGACACAGAACAAAATATCTGTCATTGTGAAATTCATCCTAACGAGATTTCCGAAACAGTCCTTAAATATATAGGCAATGGGTGTGCATGCTTTAGAACTGCTTGTGGTATGGTATTCATAGAAAATATAGTAGTGGATAGTAAAAATCATTCAAATTTTTACGCTTGTAACTTTACAAAATTGCAGGATGTGATTTTTCTTCAGAAGCTCCAGTTACCTCCCATTACCTTTTTCAATCCAATTAAAGACTGATTCACAAACTATTACTGTCCTAGGGTGACGTTATGATGCTTGTATCTCCATCCGTGTGTCCTGTTTATGCTGGATATCATGTTCTGTGCCTTCAAGACTGGCTGTGAAGAGTGAATGTTTTGTTTTGGTTTTGCTATCAGCCGCTCCCCCACAGCTGGCACGACACAGAGACAGGGCAGTACATGGGTGCTGCTTTTGCTTTTTGCTTTGCTTTTCGCTTTGCTCTTGCTTCGGCTTTGCTCCTGCTTTGCTCTTGCTTTTTTGCTCCTGCTCATTAGTTAGTTTAGCTAAGCAGTCCAAATTTTCCCTGGACTGTTTCTCCTTTCCCTTCTTTGGACCTACTCAGGCCTGCTCCGGACTGGGACCTGGGAAACACCGAGAGTTTGCACCTTGTGGCCAAGGTGCAGCAGCTACCCCAGCACAGGACAGACTGATAACAGAGCGAGCACTCCCAAGAGAGACTTTCTGAAGTTGTCTACTTTTTCAGAGCGGTGAAAGAGTGGTGTCATCTGGTATTGTTCCTTTTGTGTGCTGCGGGGTGCTTTGCCTGTTACAGAAACAGGTTCTTTCCACTTGTTTCCAAGGAATCCTTCCCGCCCCGGTTGGGGGGAGGGGCCGTGTGGGTTTGTTTTCTGGAGGGTCCACCTTTTGGAGGTTTTCTCCCAAATTTGCCCTAAACCAGGACATTTACCTACTCCCATTGGGATGAACATTACTTTGGTAAAGCAATCTTTGCTTCATCAGGACTTCATTGAAATATTGGAGAAGATCAAGAAGAATAGACAGAAAGCACTGGTAACTGTTCATCACAATGTGAAAGAAATACACCATGTCATAGAGAGAGTAAGAAAAGATGCTGAACACAGGTGGTAGGATACTCTTTTTGGGTGGTCACCTACTGCCACAAGAGTCCTGAACAGTATGTGTCATCCCATCATTGCCCTTTTGCGTTTCGTTTTGATTGGGGTTTTTTAATCAGCAATCTTACTCATTATGAATTGGAGAATGATGAAAGAGTTAACAAAATTGATGTCTGTAATTAATGCACACAACTTGGCTGATGTCCTTTTCACTGTGGCCATCTCCAAGACTATTGACACAAGGCGACTATTAATGAGAGTATGTGTTTTGAAATAATCTTCAATTTTCTTTTGTGATTATATGAAAATTACTTTTGAGTTTTGGTGAATTGTTTTGGAAAAAAAAATATTTTAAATGAACTATTGTTTTATGTGGAGACAGAGTATGGGCAGGTCTCCCTCCTTGTCTGCTTGGAGGTCCATGCACCTTCGGCAAGCTGAGCCTGTTTAGCCCAGATCAAACAAATTTAATGCATTGGCAAATAAAAAACAATACACATAAACTGGCTATCCAAAAAAAGTACTTAAGGCAATTAGACCCAGACTGTAATTTGGAAATTGTTCACTGGTCCAGATTTAAGGCCACCGCAATTACAGTCCTTCTGCCGTGGATCTTGGCAGCAAAAAGCATGGGAGAATTAGGCTGATTGGAATGTTGGGTTGCAAAGCAGGCAAAACTCACTTCTACTGCCCTGAGTGACCTCTTATCAGACAAGGAAATTACCAGGCAAGCCATCATTCAAACCAGGGCAGCCAGAGACTATCTGCTCCTTCTGCACAACCATCGCTGTGAAGAATTTGATGGTCCCTGCTGCCTCAACTTGTCATCGAAAGCAGAGAACGTCTATGCCACGATCGACAAAATGAAAAACATGGTGAACAACATCAAGAGAGAAACAGACGACTGGCTGAATGGACGGTTCAAGGGCTCGGGATTCTCGGGCTGGTTGGGATCTATTCTGAAAACTGTGGTTTTAGTACTGTTTATTCTAGTTATTGTTATTGTAGTTGTTAGCATTGTTTTTGGGCTAATCAAGCTCATGGTTTACAAGAAGCTAATTTCAAGCTCATTTTCCCCTCCTGAAGTCTATCATTTGGAAGCCCCTAGCACTCCAATGGATGACATGGAAGCCTCAATGGAAAACACTGACACTCCTGAAGAGGAGGAACCAATTTACCAGCCATGTTTTGGTGAGCATTCTGCCCCCCAAACACAGTCCTCTTCATTTTAAACAAAACAAGGGGGAGATGTTGCAGTGTGATGTCAAGCTTTACCTCAGAAACCTGGGTCCCTCCCCTGAAGGTGTGTCAATCATCGTTCCTTCCCCCACCCTGATCCCTGCCAAGCACTGTCTCTCAATCCTGGAATTCCAGAAGGGCCTCGAGTGATTGGCAGATTCAAAGGATGCCCTTTACCCCTGGGGGGGGGGGGGGGGGGGGGGGGGGGGGCATTGGCCCATCCAGGGCTCCTTTGTCCCCTAAGACCTCCTCACACTTACCTGGTTGGTGGGCTTCCTACCCCTTCCCTCCCCCTCTCCCCCAGGTAAAAGGGCAGGCAACCACACACTCTGGGAGTTCTGTTGGAGCTGTTGCTGCATTCAGAGGCCTGTGGGCCAGAAAAAACGCTCTGGATTGAAACCCTCCATCAGAACCGACTCCTTTCCTTCACCATCACCTTAAAGCTTCTCCATCAGAGGTAAACCTAAAGAGTGGACCCTCTTATGGGAGGAAGCTCCATCCCGCAGCCACCAGAGCCCCGGCATGCCTGGACTTGTCTCCACGCGCCCAGGTGTAACACCCAGCTAGCCAAAAGTGTCTCTGGATCGAAACACCACAGTTGTTGCTATTTGGTTCAGCAGCAAGGGCCAGACAAGCTAAGGCATGCCCCATTCAGCAATATCGGTAATAATATCAATAGGCTGGGAAGTGTCTTGTGGGAGGTTGCGGGGAAATTGGGAAGGAGGAGGTAGATGTGCCAAGGTGTGGAGGGGTATGGTGAAGTGGCAAAGATTTTGGGAGGGGGGAGGGAAGGAAGAAAGGGGCAGGCGGGAAGGAAGGAAGGAAGGAAGGAAGGAAGGGCGAAGGAAGGAAGGGCGGAAGGAAGGAAGGGCGGAAGGAAGGGCGGAAGGGCGTAAGGAAGGAAGGGCGGAAGGAAGGAAGGGCAGAAGGGTGGAAGGAAGGGTGGAAGGAAGGGCGAAAGGAAGGAAGGAAGGGCAGAAGGAAGGAAGGGCAGAAGGAAGGGCGGAAGGAAACATCAGTGCCCACTGCAAGACAGAGCAGTGCTCAGGTTACCCAAGGTGAGCACAATGCAGGTCTGCCTGACAAGAACTAGGTCCCAGAGGAGCATGGGGACTGCCCTGTGTCCCTCCAGATCAACTGAGCTGGTTTTACTGCACCTGTCAGAGGCACCCTCCACCCCACCAGCACAGAACCAGCCCTGGGAGCAGCAGTAAGTACAGATAGCTTGTTCCTTGTCGCCCCCTCTTCTCCCTGCTCCTCTCCGGTTACATCAGCAGGGCCTCTGCTGTCCCCACCCAGCACTGCTGTCTATCCCCTTATACCATGTTTCTTGACCTTCCCTCGCCACAGGAGGTTGGCAGTACTGGCCTGCAGTATGCCTGGCATCCCTGACAGTCTGCCTGCTACTAATAAGGCTTTGTCTGGGGCTTTTTGTTAACCTCACCAGCTACATATTTGGAACAACTGTCCTGGCCGTTCTTTTACCGAACCCTCATTAACAAAACCAGGTATCCTGAGCCCCAACTTTGCCACTGATTGGGATCTCATCCTTTAGAATTTTTACTTCTTTGATCACATGGCCTCAGCCCCTGCTAGCTCTTGAGTAGCAGATGTAGGAGAGGAACCCAACTGCCCATGCTCCCTCCTTCCTTCCCTCCCTCCCTCCCTCCCTCCCTCCCTCCCTCCCTCCCTTCCTCCTCCCTCCCTCCCTCCCTTTCACTGTTCCTCCAGGCTATTCAGAACCAAGTGAAATTTGGGAGCATTTACACAGACCTGTTCACAAAAAGGTGTATGAGAAGGTTGCAAAAGACTTTCAAGGGCAACAGAGCCATGTGGGTAGGTGGCAGCGTCCTGAGAAAATCCTGAACAGGGACCTGGAGTCTTCCCACTCTGCCAGAGATGTTCTGAATGACTCTATGAGCCAACCCACCCCAGTCTGAATGCCTACTGTCAAGACATGTTTGGAAAACTGTCAAGACATGTTTGGAAAACTACTTCAGGTAGTATTTCAAGTATCAGACAGCCCTGGGCTGATGCTATGCAAACAGGCTCAGCCTTTGAAGTGCTGCCCAGCTAATAGTGCCTTCACTACTGTCCTCCCCAGTAAAACAAAAGACAACCCAGCACGCATAACCAAGAACAGCCACTCACTTGTGAGAGAGCACGGAATCTCAAGATACTCATTCTTTCACAGCCCACATGGGCACTGCAGATATGAGTGTTTATTTCACAGTTAGCAATGACTAAAGGTATGAGTTACACATTGTAGCATCCATAGGCAGCAAATCATAGTAGCAACATGGTACTCACTTTGCATTTAATGACAAGATGAAAGACTGCACAAAGGTACACCAGGACAACTCCAAAGGCTGGTAGTGAAAACAAGATACTAAACCTGGAAAAGACCAATTGGCCCAACTAGGGCTTAGGAAAAAAAAATATATATCACATTGATGCTGGATGAGGGGGGAAAGAATTCAAACAGCAGCAAGTAAGAGCATCCCCAAAGGGGAATCAGTAACATGGGGATGGGCAGACCAGGCAGGGGAAGGAGTCACTCCGAGTTAGTTATAAGCACAGCTGGACCAGATAAAAGAAACATTTCACTACAGGGAGCCACATGCCCTACCTTTTAAGAGGTGTGTTAAGTTAGTCTGTTTTCCCCCCTTCCCAGCCACTTCACAGTCAAGGAGTTAGTTACAGCACAATGCACAGATCTAGTTAGTGAGGGTGGTCCAGAGCACCTATCCCTTTTAACAGACCTGTGTGACTTATGAGGGGCTTGGGAAGTGTCAACCACAAAATGCACAAGAGGGACTGATGGAAGCTCCTGGCAACCACACAGCACTACTTGGTGCCCTGCTTATGCAGTAATCCCAGACAAGGCTACTAAAGCTGTGTCTCCAGATACACTGACCCTGCCCTGTGCAGGGCATACGGCAGTGAACCCCAGCACTCCTCAGGCTGACCTGGACTCAGCTGGCATGAGAGAACAGAGAGAGACACTTGAAGTACTGTAAAGGCTTAGACCATTCCAAAGTGAATTAATATGGCCTGTAGTTCCAGTAACTGGAGAAAACGGAGATCTGGAAAGCAAGAACAAAAGCAGGTAAGTTCCTATACCCCCTGGACCACAAAAAAAAGGGAGCATATAATGTGTGAGGGAGGGCTTGGCTTCACAGCATTACACACTTCAGCACCGCACTACTGAAGAGCAGGTTTGCTGCTGCTGTCACTCAAGGAGCACAAAGTTACTTGCTCAAGGTGACAGCTGCAGAGCTGGAACTGAGCACTGATCTACTGAAAACTAGGTTGCTTGTTCTGTCTCATCCACCTCATGACTGAGAACACAGAAGTGTCTGCTTGCTCCTTTCCATCTAGTCACCAACTCAGCAGACATCTGCCACATCACTATACTTATCCTATGGCTGCTTGCTAGGCAGCACCAGCCAGCTCCGTGGCTCCAGAACACTCACTCATCCCTTATTTTCAGCAAGCTGAACAGAACAACATCACATCAGATCTGAGGTCCTCTCAAAACCCAGAGTTAAAAACAAAGCCCCTTTTTCAAGGCCATTACCTTATCCTTCAGCTGCTGGCAAAGCTGCAACGAAACTGTGAAGAAGACAAGGGCATCATTTAACCATGGGACAACACATTCCACTTTATGGACATGGCTGACTTCATATCGCTGGCTGCCAAACTCACTGGAGAGGGGGGGAAAGAGCACAGCTTCACACACAACAGCATAGAACTCAACTGTCCTACATTCCCATAGGAGAGATTATGATTATTTCTATCACATTTAAATCAGCACCTGGCAAAGTTACAGAATGCAAACACTCAAGTCCACCTCTGACCAGATTTACAGTTAAGCAAAAGAGTGAAGTTAGGAACTTCCCTTCATTCCAGACAGGCACAGAGGCAGATGTCAATGCCAATAACCAAACACTCATTTTTGTTGTAAACTCTCATCTCTAGATAAACTCGTGGTATTGTCTAGATGGGCTGAATCCTGAAAATTCACATATTCTGGCCTTTAGGACCAAGTCATTCAAAAGACACAACAGAGCATTCACAGGTACCGCAAGTGACTCAGTCAAGGTTTTCCACTTCAGAGATGCTATAATAGAAACTGCATGTAGCTGTTCGGATTTCACCCTCAAGACATACCAACACCTGTTACCCAGGTACACTACCCTTGTAGTGACTGTACTTACAACATGGCCCCAGGGTTGTGTAAAACAGACCCTCCAGCAGGCTTGAAGTTCTAGAGAAGGAAAAGGTCATTAGGATTTTGAAGTAGTAAACTAACCACTTAGAAGAAAGACAATTAAGGCTCACACTTTCAGTAGCCTGTCATCAAGAAACACCCATGCTCTATTAGCCTGGACCCTCCAACAATATGAAATCCCTTTTGTTAGAACCCTTCCTGCTCCTTCATGAAAGGAGTTCATTCCTTCATTGGCTGAGTTCAATGTAGCTACAAATGTTATCACTACAGAAATAAGATGAGAAGATCCAGAAGAAAAACAAAATATAGATTTTTAGGAAAATCTTCCTTATGGAAGGACTGCATTTCATAAAGCTTAAGAGTTTAAGGCTGTTTTTACAAGTTGACCCATGCAACAGGTGAAGCGGAAAACTATCAAAACTCCATGAGGAAACCCAAGATGCTACTCAGATGTAAACTGGATTAATATAATTATGCCACAAAATTATCAACTATATTTAAAGTATTTGCTAAGAAATGGCTTACTCCAGAGCACTGGTATGTTCTTCTGGGCTAAGCAACGATGCCCCGAACTCGATTTAGAGCCAGTGTTCTGTGTGCAGCAGACCTAAACACACTTAGTACCAGCTGAACTTATTTCTGCATTATCTTATGAATATAACATTGCACCAGGTAGCAGTGTGATCTCCTCCTCACAGTCAGGAATGTCAGGAGAGGAAACTAAACAAGGCTCATGAGATAGCAGGCATCACCTTGGTTGTGCTGGGCTGCATCACGTGGAGCTGGTAGACAGTGAGGCACAGCTTGTTCAGATTAATATAGAAATTCACAAGGATGTCTGGAGGCAGCACAGGAGTGAACATTTTCTGGCAAGAGAATTAGTTTGTCAGTGAAAAGATCATAATTTCTAATGCTGGGAAATCATTCCCTTTTCCCAAGCCACACTCAATTACCCCATGACAAAAGAAAAACAACAGGAGAGAAACAAAGACTGAGCAGCTGCAGACAATGACTGTTGCTCTCACTGCTCTTGATCAAATTATGAGAGTGACAAGAGAGGATGAAGCAGTGTTCACAATGGCAAATCATTCCTGGACAAGACTCTTGGGCAGAGAACAGAATTTACTCTCAAGAGAACCAGAGTCCTCACATCCAAGTCATCTGCATTCCCACAGGAAGATAAAGAGCAGTCAAAACCAATCAGGATTTGCACTTGCTTAAGTTCTGCCTCAGGAGACACTTCAGAAACCCACTTCCACCAAGATGCAGCCCAGAATCCAAACTGCTGCAATGCTGCCAGACCTGTATAGAGATCTAGACCATCACATACTTACTGTGAGACCACTGGAGGCAATTTCTGGTAGTGTCAGAGTGGCAGGAGTGGTCAGTCGATTTCGGGCTCTGGAGAGCTGCAACATCACAGCATCCATAAGCTACAAGGTAATGTACAGAACCACTGCTGAGTGTGATTCTTGGACAGCTCTGGGCAGAGTGCTGCAGAATCCTACAGCCTTCTGCAAGTGTTAAAACAACAACCACCACTACCCCCCCATCCTTCCAGGAATTCAGGAACTTATTGGGAAGGGCTGGCTCCCACATAAATGCAGTTTAACTTTCACCACCATCAGAGACTTATGAGACAGGTCAGGAGTGTTCAATACCAGCGACTGATGAGAGAACAGCTATTCATGACAAGAATACCAAGCCAATATGAGATCAATTACTGATGCTACAAAGGCATCAACAAACTCATCATCAGCTCTTCAGAAGAACAGGCATTAAGGAAAAAAAAAGCTGCATTCTCGGTCTCCCCACTCCCACATCACAGGTCCAACTGCTGCATGGGCTCCCTCTGTTCAATAACCAGCTATGAGCGAGGCAGTAAATAAAAAGAACCAGCTCATTGTGAGGCCAATCCTGCCAGAAACCACAGTTCCAAGGCTCTTCAGGCAGACTTCCTCTTCCAGAAAAAAAGGGGAAGCAACATGTCTGTCACAGATCTCATGACTGCTAAGATGAAGGCATTTTGTATAATATCTCCCTTCACTTCCACTTGAGTTTTCTCATGTTTGATGTTGTGATGAATTCTAATGAGCAAGCCAAAATTCTGTTGCCTTCAGAGAGCATTTTCAAGCAGAAGGTTGGGCTTCACTGCCATTGCAGCAGCTGCTCTGTATTAGACCCCAGAAAATACTACTGGCAAGAGAGAAGGCACTTTCAGATTTTCAGTAAATCACAAGTACTGTCATCTTCTGTTTACTGATGGCTGCCTCACTGCTGCTCTTGCCTGCAGCACTGACCAACAGAGAGTAAGTTATGTAACAACATCTTCCACAGAAGATCAAGGAATATCCTCCTACATTATCACTGGTGTGTAACGGTGCACTGACTGCTCAGATTACTGTTCACCAGGATGTACAGCCCTGTTACTAATGCTAAACTAGTACAGATTCATATAAAATATGAGGTCACGTGGACACTTCTTGACATGGGTATGCATGGGTACAACTATTAAGTCTGTTTCCACTAAGAGACTCAGACGGTAATCTGCATTAACTGTGTTTAAAACAATAAATGGAGGAAAGAAAAATGCATGTTCCTACCCAAGCATCAGGAGCTTTCTCCTCACCTTGAGCACCTCCAAGCCTGTTTTGAACTGGTAGTTTGCATCTCTGTTCATAAGCAGGTAAATGGCTTGGTTCACATGGTTTCTAGCATCCTGGATCTGCAAAGGTACAAATACAGTCCTATGAAAGAAAACTCTGTAGTAACATGTACTTGGAAGTAAAGGTTTCCCCAGTTATCTCACTGACCTTAAGAATAGTATCTCCTCAAATGTAATGCCATGTCTAAATGTCAGATAGTGTCTAACACAAACCTACCACTGGTTCCCAGAAGCATTACTGGGTTCTCCACTCATGGACTGGAGATACAGAACAGTCTGACAGCTACAACCTGAATTGTCAGTACAAATACTGCTCCTGTCCTGAAGTGACATCAGGCATTCTCATCCTGGGAGTGCTCTGACCATGACTGCTTGGTAGGAATTCTCACCAGTAATGGCACACAGCAGTCAACTCCAGCACCATGAACAATGATTTCATCCCATCAGAGCTAGAACAAATGACATCAATGAACAACAAGCACTGATTTCTAATACAGTGTCTCTGTCAATATCCCAGAGTACTTCTAAAGTGAAATTGTTGGGATTGAGAGTCATCTCCAGCATCAAGAAGCTGTGCCATTGTGTGGGACTGGACCAGACTCAGGACACAGCTGGCTCAAGTTCCTCTCAAGCAAGAGGAACACAGTCACAAAAGCAAGGTTGACAGGTGTATCCTTGCTTTCATGAGAGCAAGGACAAACCAGAGGAAGACAATGGCCCTGGGAGAAGCTGACTGCGTTCAATTTTAGGCAGCAGCATGAAAAGGGAAAATCAAACCCAAGGAGTAAATTAGAGGGTGCAAATGGAACAGCTAAGCAGGGAAGCCTGTACAAGAAGTGTCTGCTGGGAGACAGGCTACACAGCTTGGGGTATTTTAGTTTGATATATTTACAATGCCCTCCAGCAGTCACAGCTCCCAGCCCTACATCCTTGTAGAAGCCTCCCTGGCATAGACCTGGCTCTGGTTCCTTCTAATGCAGAGCTCAGGGAATACAGAACAGCCCTGCTCTTAGAAAGCTCTTGCACTGGAGGCCACAGAGAGAAGAGTGAGAATGGTAAATCCACTGTCGGACTGCAGAGAGACTGCAGCTACCTGGGCATCTCCAAATATCAGCATCTCTGGCCTTGACATCTCCTAGAGGCTTCTGAGCAAGCTAAACTGCTCCTGGCAGCACTACCAAGCAATGCCAACCCTGCTGTTATGATGCTCCATTCATATTCCCCCTTGACTTTGCTTTGTTTTCTAATCAACTTCCTCAAAATTTATGTGCCTGCACTTGTGTTCCTCAAAAATGTGCCTGCACTACAATTTCTTACCCATGACTTCTCTTTGTACAGAGAAATAAAACTCCAACTATCACCACTCAGTAAGGGAAGACACTCCTTTGAGATGCTAATTTTTAATTCAGACAGGCCAAAGATCACCATATAACCACTTTAAACGCTTTTGCGCTCAGTCCTTTAGGCACTCACACTCCATATCTGAACAACGTTAGAACACAAAATGCAAGTAAATAAAGGAAGTTGTTTTCCATAAAAGCTGGTAGAAGTCTTCCAACCAGGCAGCAGTACAAAATAGCCACAAAAGAGGAGGCACTGCTGAGTGTTCTCACAAAAACTTTCTTGCTTTGTTGCAAGGCATGAACAAACACAGTCAAGTTTGGTATTAACATCCCAAGTACACAATTTTCTAGATTTCTACAAATTTGCTAGGTAGAGCTTTCACTGCTAAAGAAAATGTTGGGAACTGCACTCAATGCCAAATACACTCATCACCTAGAAAAACCTGAGCTATGGCACAAGGAAATACATTGAATCTATCTTCCTCCAACCTACTCAGCTACGACAAATTGAGGCAAACCATGTCTTCAGACACTAGGTCAGGTCCTGAAATCGGGTATGTCCCAGCAAAATTATGGGAAAGAGATTCTGGTTCTGGATAGCTGCATTATTTTAACTCCTTACCTGCGGGAACTCAGACATGCTACTGAACACAATAAGTTGTTCTCAGTGTAAACAAATGAATCTGTAAGAGAATGAGAACATGCTACTCAAAGCCCCTGAAGCTGCTCTTTGCCCTTCTAGCTTGTGGTGACATGGGACAGTCCTGCACAGGCACCTCAGCCACTCCTTTACAGGATCATGACTGCTATGCAGACAGCCTTCAGATCAACTGGTGTGTAGGGAATGAGCCCACCCAGGCACCCTAACTCAATTTAACTGATTTAATTGCACCTGCTTCCTCCCTTAGCTTTTACCACTGTAGCTCATGTGAAATGGACATAACAATCTCTCTCAAAAGACTAAAGTTACTGCTCAGAGAGCAGAGAAGCTGTGGATGGGTGGGCATCTAGAGCCAACAGGTACCTGCTGCAATTTCCACTGCTTGTCTTCCCGGAAAGCAAAATGCAGGAGCTGATTGTTTCTGGGCATTTTCAGATTGACATCCTTGAAAAAAGAAACAAAACACATGAGAGCAAGAAATGCCTGTATGCAAAAGATGGGGGCTGGCAGTCACATTCCCTTCTTCCAAACCATCCTAGCAAACTGCCTTCTGCAGTCCTGGCACAGCCAGAACCTCAGTGCTTCCACAGGATGATATTAATACAAATAATAGGTTGAAATGCACTGAGTGAATCAGGATCCTGGCAGGACACATGACCTCAGCCCAGAAGGTCCCCAGGGCAACTTGTTATTACACAATAAAGGTGGTGAAGGCAAGGAATCCCAGTGGAAGTTGACTACAGCACTCACCACCAGGTGGTGGTGGTAGAAGGGGATATCAGATGCTGAATCTTGATAAATTTCAATGGTTGCTGAAACATCTAGGCCAATTAGGGAGAACTGACAAAGAACACTGATCACTGGTAACACAAAACCAGGGTGACCTCCCTCCCTGAGGTGATCAAAGGCTGATAAGGCTGACACCCACCTATTGCCATACAAAGCAAGAAGTGTTGCAAGTACTCACAGCTTGACACAGTGCATCTCCCTGCAGCGTCATCACACCTTTCACCTGGTCTGTGCTGGAATGAGAGGAAACATCTAGGCAACACGTGTCACAAGAGGCACCTATCAATTGCCAGCCTAAAACCTCCCCTCCTCGTCCTGTGTAGCCAGCACAGCTCCTCCTGCCCAGGGTCTGAACACTGCTCCTACCAGCAGCTGAAAACCACACACACTTTCAAGCCCCCAATTCTTGGCCTGTGGTGAACTCCAGTCATATTCTTTACGGGCCACCTCACCCTAACTGCTCTGCCTAAAACATTACCTTCATTTCTGATCCCATTCTTGTTCCATTTATCAACTGTCAACAATTTGGCTGCTGTTACAAACAGCTCCAGCAGGCACAAGCACAAGACAATAAATTAATTACTGACATTGAAGAGTTAGACGATTCCTACAGGAGTTGAAAGCTACAACCCGCACCCCATTCCAAGAAAAAAGACCCTAAATAAGTAAAACCCCACAACCTTAAAAAAATAAAACCCCCACACCCCAAACTCTTTGAAAGGTCCTGCAAGATGACTCACATGTATAACGGTCTGAGGAGAAGACTGAAGCATCTAGTTGGGCCATACCTTACATTTTACTATATAAGAGACTCTTTTGATCAACACTACAAGATCCACCTTACAACAAGTGAAAACTAAGTTAACTAAGATCTGAAGAAGACAATGTTCAAACCTAGTACAGAATTATTGCATGATTCCTTGCAATGATGTGACAGTCCTAATGACTAAGGTTAATTGCTTTGTGAAAAGCTTCTGAACTCCACCAATACTGAGACCACTGAGGATCAAAAAATGGATATCAATTTCAGAAGAACTGCACACCAACAGCACCTTCTGCACAAGCCTCAGTTTGCTTTGTGTGAAGGAGATTTACTATTGCTATTTTACGGAGATTAGGAGAAAGGTTAAGATTTCTCCATAGTCAGGGTCAGTAACTGAGCCAAGAGCAGAATTCAGGTCTTGTAACTACAACTCCCTGTGTCATAATCAGAAAAATGCCCTTTGGCAAACTGCCCACAGCACTGAGGCAACACACAGGCATGTGGTCAGGAATCAGTGACTACATTATAGGTGTCAGCACAAAATGGCACAAGGCTGGCTCAGGCAGCCGTGGAGCACAGCTACAGACTGTTACCTTCACCTGCCATGAAAACTAGTTTGTTTTCCTTAAGGCAAAATCTCCTATTAAAGAAAACCCAGGCCTTCTGCAAAGCCCTACACCACAGATCCTCCAGGATCTGCACCCTTTGCTGCAGAGGGAAGTGACCTGCTGACCATCACCACTTACCCTGATGTGCTTAGTACAAAGTTCTCTTGCTTGACAGCTCCTCCTGAGCCACTGGTGGGAAAGGCAAAGCGGTGGGAGGCCTCCTGCCCAAGAGAGGACACAGTGAATGCTAGAGCATCTGCCTGGGTCCAGCACACCATGAGCCAGGAACAAAGATAATGTGGACACCATCAAGTGGCTAAATATGTAGCAGTCACCTCTGCCAGCCTCCTGAAGTTCACCAAGCAGAGCACTTGGATTTCCTCGTACTGCAGGACTGGTGAAGCCCACGAGGAGGCTCAGCACATGCAACCCATAGTGAAAGGCATTTTCAAATCCCACACCCTGGAGCTGGGCAGTGCCAGCAGGATCCCCAAGTTGCCCACAGAAGGAGCAGCACCTGACAGCTCAGCTCTGCATACCCTCAGGCACCATAGTGCTGCCCCTTATCACAGCTGGTCTTTACACATGAAGGAAGTGTAGAGAGAACACCAGTCCTCCTCGGCCCTTCATCTGGTTATACTGGCTGGTGACTGCCCTTTACACACTTCACCCTCAAAACTATAATAAATTCTTCAAAACAGGTACTATATATAAAGGTATTGCAGTCTATTGTCACCTGCCATTGACTCCAGTCCTGGGGTTTTGAGTCAACACTAAGGCACTCGCACCTGCTCTGGCACTTGCCCCTCACCTCCACATTTTTGGCCCTGCTTTTCCATCACTCCATAACCTCTAAAAGCCAAGGAGTGTTAAGGGGCTGGGCCTGTTGAACATTGATCCAGCAGACACACAGTGCATTCACCATGCACGGAAGTCCCTTTGGCCAGTTCCTCAGTGGCTGCTTGGAAAGAGTCAGCCCCACAGCACATGCTCAGGCTAGAGAAAGGTGAGAAAAGGGCTGCCCATCTGCTTCAGCTGAACACATCAGGCCTCTGAAAGGGACAGGTACCAGCAGAGGAGTGGGCAGGTTGAGGAAAGGATGATTCTGAACAAGGAGAGCACATGCCAGTAATTACTGCACATGTAGCAGCTGTCACCTAAAGGCCATGTTGCTTGCTTCCACCAGCACATATCAGAGTTACAGCAGATTCAGATTCTCTATTCCAGAAAATGTTTGTATCTCAGTCAAATGCCTGGCAGATAGGTCTGGCTGGCTCCATGTACCTTTTCAAAGCAGCTCTCAGCAGAGGATAAAGAACAGAGAAATCTTGGGGATATCAGATTTACTGTGAATCCTCAAGAGCAGAGGGCAAGCAAGCACCAGGGAAAGAACTGGATATACATGAATGACCTTTCTGTGCAGCCTCTATCAAGAACTTTTTCCTGCAGGGGAAACCTATCACCATTCCTTACACAGAAGGTCAAACAAAACTCAGACAAAATTAACCTCACCTTCAAAATATCCTGCAGCTGTCTCAAAACAGCATGGACCTCTTCTTGTAAAAGCCATTTAAATTCTTCTTCCTATGTAATGGAAAAATAGCAGTGCAATCATTAGACATCAAACACTGCAAGCAAATCTCTCAGACATATGCCAAAATTATTTAAGTGTACTGCTGTTTCTGCGCTGTTTAAATAAAGGAGAACAAAAGTTTTCTTCCTGATTTGTTGAAACACCTCAGTCTCCACATCTCCACTTCTCCACCTCAGTCCAATGAACTGTCCTCATTATTGCCCTTTGTTTAAGAAAGCAATTTGGTACACAAATCACTGTACCAAAAAACCTAGAATTGAATGCAACTTTCAGAGCAAAGTAAAAATACTACTGTGTCAAAAACTGGGGCATCTTTTTATGCTGTTAAGATGGACTCACTTGGCTGCCAGACACATACCCAGCCTCCCTCACTGCCCCTTCCTCAGAAGGAAATAAGATAATAGGCCAAGGTAAAGCTAGAGAGATCCATTACCAACTCCTGGCACAGACAAAACTGAATCAATTTGCAGACAAATTCGTTGCTAATTAAGTGGTAAGAAACAAAGATAAGAACTAAAATGAGCATCCCCACCCACATCCCCAGCATTTCCCCAAGCAATAGCAGTCTAAAACCAAAACAGTTAAACTGAAAAGGGGGTGGGGGGGGACACAGGCTGGGGACTCCCAATCATTGGGGCAAATTCAGTAATGAACAAGGTCGGATCTGATGACTCACTGCCTTGAGCCTCCATTGGCTGCTGCCACAGAGAAGCCTGTACAAAGCAGACCCTCAAAGCAGATCTAGTGTTCCTGTTAAACCATGAGTCCCCATGCAGGTCATCAAAGAAGTGGGGAATAGAAGCAAGCATGGGACAAAGAAAAGATTGCCACTCGTCATCCTGTAAGAAAAGAGAAATTTTCCATGGGGAGAGTTCTGAGCAGGTTGCCCACAGAAAAACAGGCAAGCTATGGTCAACTCAGATTTTTAAGCTTGCAGTTTCTCTGCTAGATGGTTCCAGTTCACCATGAGGAACACAACCCCCCACTGATGTGTCATCACCTTATGCAAGAGTTATCTCGACAACCAGTAGAACAAAATCAGGCTTGTTTCAGCAAACATTTATCCAAGGCAGGCACACACAACAAAGCCAGGCAGGATTCTCTGTTATCCTTCAAAGCAGTTTGAGTGCAGGACCACTGACTTTGATGCTTTAATCCTCTTTTGGGTGTCTGGGAATTATACTGATCATAGAATATTCTTAACTGGAAGGGAGCCACAAGGATCATGAAGTCTGTGTGTGGGCTCTACACAGGACAGCCCCAAGAATTCCACCATGTGCCTGAGTGTTGTCAAAACTCTCCCTGAAATCTGTCAGTCAGGGTGCTATTGCTATGACCACTGCCCTGGGGAGCCTCTTCCAGTGTCTGGCCACCCTCTGGATGAAGAAACTTTTCCAAATATCCAGCCTAAACCTCCCCTGACAGAGCTCCATGCTGTTCCCTCAGATCCTGTCACTAATCACCAGAGAGAAAATGGATGTGCAACTCTCACTCTGTAATGTTTGGCGTCCTCCAGGTTCCCAAAGGAACAGTGATCCCCACGGGTGCAGCAGATACCTTTAGTACCTCCAACACCCACCACTATCATGTAGGTGTTTCTACTCAAAATGCCCATTGGTATCTTTCTTCCCTTTAGTCACAGCAAGAAATCGCCTTTCCCCTGCCCAATAATTTTGGCCTAAGTCAAGTTGGTGCACATCTGTGTGCTGCACAGCTGTGTTTTTGGGGAATGCTGGTCATACGCTTCTAAACCATATGACATTAGAAAAACCCGCTTTCCTATGTGGATTTCCATCCAGACCGACGTATCTCTGAACCCTATCTCCATACCAGAGATGTCATTCCTCCTCGGAGATCCTGTCCCGGGGAGGTCGCAGTGACGCCTGCTCTGCGCCGCCCCCGCTGCTACTAGTTCACTAGGGCGGTTCGGGCACCCGCCATGTGAGGGGCGCTTCAGCGGGACACCAAGGTCAAAGGGCACACTCACGGTGTGCCGGGAGCAGGGCGACCCCGGCCTTGCCACCCCACCCAACCCATCGGAGGAGCAGCGTCGGTGGCAGAGAAACCCGGGCGCCGCTGCTGGGCGAGGCGGGAGGAGGCCGCGGCCTCCGAGCCACACGGCGACGGCGCTCGGGCATCGGCCCGAAAGCCTGACCCGACAGCATGCCGGAACTTCGGCAGCGCCTCCAGTTAAAGCAGATGCACTGGGGCTGGGCCCGGGCAGCCCCTGCACAGCGCTCGGCCCGGACCCAGGCGCAGGGGACGGCCTTACCGCCATCCCGCGGCTCCCTGCCCGAGCCCGGCCAGACAGAACGAATCTACGGGGGCCTAGCAGCGCTCACCCTGGCCCCGCCGAGCGCCCACCCGACTCACCAGCACCGCCCGCTCCCCTTGCGTCGCCATCGCCGCCGCCATACCGACACCGCCGGCCCCGCCCCCAGCACCCACGCGCACGGCCCAGCAACGCTTGATTGGGCAGCGCCGCTCCCCTCCGCCGTCCGCGAGGGCGGGGCCCCGTGCGCGACCACAGCAGGGCGGGACTTCGCCCGCACAGCCCCCGAGCCTGTCCCCGCTGCAAGATAGGTCAGACCTGCCCGTCGCCAGCCCAGCGCAATCGGCGACGATCAAAACGAGCTGCGCGTAAGAATACTCAAATGAGTGGAAGTTTAATCACTTCTTAAAATAAATACATTTATCCTGGCAGTGAGGTCTTTGTATAGAAGTCGGCGAGTTCCCTTTCACAACGGTTGTGCTGCGAGCGAGATGAGAGGTGAGGGCATAGCATCTTCACCACACCAGCCCCTGGGGAGGGGTAGGAGATGGGAATGATTCTTCAGGCTAGGGAAAACTTCCAAACAGCCCCGGTTCCCGCTGTAAGCACAGCTCTCGACTTCCTCTCTGTTGCTTTTAATGACAGTACTCTAAGAGTGCTTCCTCGGGCACCTATAACTCACTACACCTGAAACCCACTATTATCTACACTTCATTTCATCCTGATGCCTCAGGGCAGGAACAGCTACGGCTGTCCAAGTGTCTCATTATCCACAAGCAGTATTCAGAGCTTGTAAACATTTCAGTTAAGGATCATATCTTAGAATACCAAATTAACTGCTGACTTACTGTTCACAGAATCATGGGATGGCTGGGGTTGACAGGATCCTTAATGCTCATCTCATTCCACCCTCCTGTGATGGACAAGAATCTTCCACTGCACTCAAAAAAACCCAAATGCCAGAAGGATGAATATCCCAGCCCAAAATTTAACAGAAGTTGTCATCAACACCGGAACATTAAAACCAAGGATCCTCCTCTCATTCCAGATGCATGTAGCCCTCTGCACACAGAGCATGGAATTTATCTAAACTTATCCTCTGTAACGCCTCACTGAGAGTTTCAAACTTGAGCAATGACTGAAGTGCTCTCAGAATTACTCAGTTTTCAGATGACTTGGTTTTGAGCAGCTCTGAGTTTCTAGTGTTCTGAGGAACACATACTTCCTTAATGCCCCAAGACAGCTCTGATAGGCTTTAGAAAATGCCACAAGAACATTCAGTTACCAAGAAAAGTTTTATTCTTTTTGCCAGTAGCTTTGTTAATTGCACCAAAAAAAAAAATCTTTGCCATTTAAACATTTTCACACATCCTATTCTGAATGACAAATGTTAATTAAAAACAAGGCAGGAAAATAAAAATTCACAACCTTAATGAACTATGTGATCTATCATTGAGGAAAAAGGAAACTGCTTTTCTTACAAGCTTTCACAAGTGTCACATTTTCTCTTTAAAAAGGAGGGAGTTAAAAAAAGCAAACTTCTAAAACAAATCTTCATAAAAAGAAACTTTACAGAATTGTCAACAATATTAGGACAACATTTAACTAGCCAGTTTTATTAGAGCATCTCAATCCATTGCTTCCCCCACTTCCCTCCCTCAAATCCCAGGCCTAGGAACAGACTCAAATCCACATTCAGAGGCTATAGACATAAATACATGAATCTGAGTGAGACTGAGAGACTGACAGCAATCTCAACTGGCATCTGGAACAGTCTGGATTCCCCCATTTCCATCCCTCCTCTTCAGAGCCACATCAGAGCTCTCTGGTCTCCTCCTGCTTCTCCTGGGCACACCTGTGACTGTACAGCTGTCCAGGCAGCACTGCAGCCACTCTACAGCAACCCACAATGGCTGAAAACTGCAGCCAGACCCTTCCAGGATAAATTACAGCATTCAACTAGTCCGCATCTGCCACTCCCACAGAAATAACCATCTCCATTCTGGGAACTACAGTATTTCTAGAAACAAACCCTGCAGCAGTGAGCTGCCTTGGGACTGGTCCTTTGAATTCATTATGAAATACCTGCCACAAGACTTGAGAGCTCCTTTGGCATTCTCTCTGTATCCAGAGGCACCACAAACTAACAAAGATACTCCATTACCATTGCTCACACCATTCGTGGTCACTCTGGCCCAAGACGGCAGGGACGGGGAGGGGATGCCACTGAACTGGCTCTGAACATGGGACAGTACCTCCTTCTTCCTCCCAAAAGATTTTTTCCTTCAGTCTCATTTCCTGCCTCCAAACCCACAACTTTCCTCAGATGCCCACAATGCACAATTCATACAAGAGATGGTTTTTTTTACTATAGTATGTTTAACAAAGGATTTCAGATGCTAACTGTGGAGTTCTGAGTGGAGAACAACAGTGTGCCAAAGCAGATCAATGGTTAGCTATGCTGGTAATTTTACATGCCTTTAATGTGAATACCTACATACAGAATGGCAGTGGCATTGCCAAAGGAACACAGGTGTGGAACTACCATCGCCCAAACACAGTGGCCAACAGGCAGTGAGGTCTGACAGCCCTGTTGCCAGGTGTTCACTACAGGATATAAGTAATGCAGAATACAGCATTAGCCCACAAGGAACAGTCATCACAGGAGGTGAAATACCCAAAGTAACATTTACAGCATAAGGCATTAGATGTTGTGATTCGATGAGTATGTGACAAAATGAGTATGTGACACTTTCTTTCTTTCTTAACAAGGTGTCCCTGAACCATACACACATGCTGCACAAAGCAGGACTGGTAAGAAATCCTAACCCAGGGAAAATTTCCTTACACAGCCATTAAGTTCCTAGGAAAAAAAATAAGATGGCAGGGGCAGATGTCAGGAACACAACCTAATTTGAATCTGTCTTCTTTCCTTTCAGAATTCCAGCCCAAGGGAGGAAGGAGATTGTACCACTTGAGAAGTGATTTTGGCCAAAGTTTCTCACTGGCATTTTTCTAACACTCAAATTTAAAATGCAAGAACACTCCCAAAAGGCTAATACTGAGAATTGGGAAAAAAAAAAAAAACCCAAACAAACCAAAAACCAAGCCACACTCTGTGCATTTTTTGTGACAGGCAGCCTTTGGACTCTGGGTTGCTCTGCTATTTACACTGAGACCATCTCTGATCTCTAGCCTTGGCATCTGCAGTTCATGTCACCCATCTCTAGACTAAAGCTCAGCAGTGGTCTTAGCCTCCCCAGCCTCAGTTACTGGTCTTTCTAGAAGTTGGTATCTGGCAACAAGCAGAGTTCACAGATACAGGGAGAAGGCTCATGCTGTGCTATCTTGTACCCAAAGTAGTAACACTAAGAACATGTATGGAAAATCTGACATGTATAAAGATCACCAGGCAGTACACAAAAGTATCCCTGTGAGGTAGGTAACCATCACCCACCTTTATAGATGGGCAAACAGGCTGAGAGATATGACAACCATGCAAAGGCCAGAGAGCGTGGAAAGGAGCTCAGGAATCTCAATCTCTTGAATCATTCTTCTCTCCCTTTTCAGACTCACCACTCTGCTTGTGACACTGCTGCAATCCAAGACACCTTTGCAATTATTGACTACAAGGGTTAAAAAAAGCCAAACAAGTAGTAACATAACATAAGCTAAGGCCAGGAACAAGTAAAATCTCTAGCCCAGTTTTATAGGCACTATGTTTGTCTTGCAGTTTTCTATGCAAAGGTGTTACTTTCCAATGATGTTTTGGATGGGCTATGATAAACCTTTCAGGAGTCTCATTGACATAAGCATTCTCCTATTTTCAGTACAGTTTGTGTTCCCTAAGCTGTAATTGTCTGTACAGGGGAAGACATGGATGCAATGTGTTATCTTTAACAGTACAGGAATTCCTCCATCAAGGTGGGGAAGTGGAAGTCTAAAAAGAAAGTGAATCAAGACAGTGTTGCACTCAACTCCCCTTACCCCCTGGAACTGCCCTTCTCCTCCATGGGAGGTGCCTTGTTCTCTAACAGTGGCTAATTAGCAGGCATGCTCCTCACCTTACTTGGGACCAAGGACTTGAGTGATATTCACAGGTAAATGGGATGTATGTCACCCTGTCCCCTTGATGCAGAGTCCAACACTTGCATTATTTCACAGCAAAGAAGAAAAGGGATCGTTAGAAACAGCATCTTGGACTAGCAAACAGAGGAAAATTAAAGCAGCCAAGCAGCAGATTTCTGGCAGAGTTGCCTCAGAGCTTCTGAACAATTGCCGCTGTTTCATCTCATGACTGTCAGTGCATGGCATGGATTTTTCTAATTAGACTGCAACAATCCGAGCCCCCTCCTCCCCCCTCCTGCCACAGTGGAAGGCTCACCACAGCAGGTCTCAAAGTTTGTGTATAAAAGGAAATGGAAAGACAGAGATGGACTGGTCCAGAGTTAAAACCCAGTATCATAATAATATTAATCAATCATCATCGTATGAACAGTAAGAAGGGTGCAGCCTAATGGATGTAGGCCCTGTACACTGCAGACATGTCGTTGTCAGATTGGTCCAAGGCTTTTGCTCGTTTATAGACCTAAAGAGAAATCAGAAAAGGATCAGAGCCTGCTCTTGTGTGAAGCCTCTTCCCAGCAGAAAAACTCCTTTGCTGACCACTGCAACCAGAGAACTGCACAGGATGTCAAATAATCCAAGCGCAGATCAGAAAATGCCAGGTCTTTCTGTGTTTCCTGATGTAACATTCTAAGGGTCTCTACAATCAAAACAAATCCAATGCCACCCTAGTCAAAAAATATTTCAATCACTGTTCCCTTGTCTTAGAGATGACGTAATTCTTTGATCTGTATCTCCGATTGACAAATGGTACTGTTGAATAAATGCTGAAGAACACATCTGAACACTGAACAACTCTTACCTCGTTGGCAGCAGCTGCCATGGGAGTTGGGTGGTTGACAGAATCGCCCAGTGCAATAGCTAATCTAAGATCCTTCTGGATGTACTTCAGGTAGAAATCAGGTTTAAAGTTTCCTTGCAAGATATCTGCAGAGAGGAACCCATGCAAAATTAAGCGTGACAAAAGTAAGTCAAGCCCATGCTGCAGGGGGCTGTAATTCAACACTAATCTCTCTCTCCATTGCTG